TCCAGACGATGGATGGTGTCCAACAACATATTAATTGAAACGTCTACCATGCTACACGGCACCACACCCCACATGATGATACTTCTCATAGTGAAGGCCAAGAGAACCGAAAGTCTAACAGAAAGAATATACTTCCTGTGTCACTAAAGTTACTTACTGTATTAAAAAGTTAAAAATGAGACCATCCTGTATGATTCAGTAAAGAGAATGTCCATTTGAATTACATTCTGCCCTTCACCCGTGTATTAGAACTTTGGCTTGATGTGTGTGAAACTGTAATTACATTTGTGGGCGTATAGCCAACAACTCATACCCGTCGCGTCTCACACGTATGTAGGTAAAATGATAATTATAGAAAAAAACTTCATGAATGAAAGCATCAGGTCAAATTAGTTGCCGTTTGAACAAGCAATGTCTATCTAAGATTTTCACGGTCTCTTCGCTTGCGGATTTTCTTACTTTTCCTTCTACCCTGAAGGTGGAGGCGATACGTTCTTCCGAAATGTCGGTTGACTTCAAATCTACACAGTGCCAAATCCCAGAAGACTGTCTTCTTGAAGCAATATCTATGCTACACAATGAGAGTTTAATAAAATTAATAAGAGGAGCTGGTTTCACACAATTCCTTTCACCGGATTAATTAATGTGAATAACAATAGTTTATTTTAAAGCAGAGTCGTTTAAAAAACTTTTAAACTTTCAATCAGAAGAAGAGGAAGAAGACGCAAGAAGATGCTGGATGACCTTGGGGACAGAAGAGGATATTTCCATTTGAAGGAGAAAGCTCTAGATCGCATCAAGTGGAGGAACTGTTTTGGAAGAGATTGTAGACCTGTCGTCTAATAGATTACTCATAATGAATGAATCTTTCAACTAATGACATTTTGTCATTCAAATGTTAAGTGCCTTGAATCGTTGATATTCTGTATATTCTAATTAATCAATTTAATTATTCCGTGATAAAATTTTCAACATCGACCTATGTTCGATACTTTCAAATCTCCTGGAGGTAAATTTAGTCTTGTCTTCTGGTGATCATTATTAAAATCAACGTTTTTGTTTTTTGTTCTCGTTAGTAGCCGACTTGCCTTATTTTATAATGCTAATGATATTAAAATATTAATGTATGTGTCCATTTGATAGCATTTTAATCAACTGAAGATTTTTCATAAAACTTGGTATAAACGTCATAACAGTAGAGTCCATCTCTCCTTTGAAACTTATACGTTTCTACCACCAATATTACCAACATAACCGTTCTGAGAACTTGCAAATAGCTATATTAAATTCCAACACTGAATAAATACATAATATACTTTTTTAAAAAGCTCTTGCAATTCGAAATAAGCGTTTTCCTTGAAAATAAAGAAGGCTATAAATCTTTTTTCGGCAGATTGACTTATCGGGAGAGTTACCAGCAAGCAACGCATGCAGCGATCAATTGGCGCACTGTGTTATCATAACCTCAAACACGATCATCATGATTTTTTGGTATTGAGAGATAGTTCTTGAAACATTTAAATGAATGTTAAAAATTCTCAGAGTGCCTTCCGCTTATGCACTCTGTACATATGAAGCGCATAATGAAATTCAAATATATTTACAGTGATGATATGAAACATTTTCTGTGCAGGTAATTTTCTCTATTTATGTGTACAGACGGTTACATATCTTGCATCAAAGCAAACCGAACGCATGTAAAACCATAAATACATATTACCTTAAAATATGCATTTGCTTCCGTAAACATTTTTCTAACTGATTTAAACTACAGAGGAAAATGCTAAATGCAATTTTAACCCTATCTCGAAATATCTTAAACTCCTTTGTTCTTTGGTTTGCCCTGCAAAATAGAGCTCCATGTTCCTCAATCTTACTCGCTTTCTCTCCCTCACCAAGATTCAAATTCAGTTCTCCTAATAAATTAAAATGGCCGCCTATGTGTTCTAGTGGTCAGAGTTCCTGGCAAGAGATCCAGAGGTCCGAGTTCGATTCCCGGCGCTACCAAATTTTCTGAGAAGTAGTGGGTCTGGAACGGGGTCCATTCAGCCTCGTGAGGATAATTGAGTTGCTTTTTGAAGCGGCGCCGGTCTAGAAATCCGAAATTAACGGCCGTGGGATTTCTTTCCGCTGACCACAAGACACCCTCTACCCGCTAAAGTTGGCGCTAACTTCGCCGACAAGCGGCGGTATGTAGGTCGGTATAGTGCGCTTGCGGACTGCAGGTTATGGAGTTTGATTTTTTTTACACGACTTGTTGTACTCGCAATATGTATGAAGAATTCGAAACAAAGCGGGATTTAATTACTAGCAAGAATTTTTATTAAACTCATATGTCCACTACTAACTTGAGCATTATAAATGACTCTATTAAATATTTTTCTGATTTTTGTACATTTGTACCTTTAAAAATTACGTTCAAAACTACAGTATTTTGATATTTATTATACGTTATAACCGTCAATACAACAAATGAAGCTGAAATATTTTCAATGAAGACAACAGATATGACGAATATTATATACAAAACAGGATGCAATCTATAAAATTTACAGTATTTTAAGCTTCTAAAGCACGCAAGTTATTACAAGATGGTCCAACAGCCAGTTAACTAGTTAGTAAATTGTTTGCTAAAAACATGTCACAAATTTTTATATTATTTACTGAATAGAAACATTGTTCGTAATCATATCTTCCATTTTCAGTACAAAACTCACAGCGCTGTGATAGAGTTCCACACATTGGCTGCCAGGTTTATATCTAAACATTGCCGTCATTATGAGAAAATATTTGGGATCAACTGACGTTTGGGCCACTCTGTATATTTACTTACTTACTCATGTAGCTGGGCCCTTCTGGAGGAGCCGCCAATTCTGCAGCTACTCAAGAATTTCCCAGCATTTTATGGAACCCGAAGGTGCATCACCGTGTTCACAAGAGCCCTCCACTGGTCCCTATCCTGAGCCAGATCTATCTAGTCAATAACATCCCATCCTATCTCTCTAAGATCCATTCTAATATTGTCCATCCACCTACGCCTTGGTCTTGCCTGTGGTCTCTTTCCTCCCTGCTTTCCCACCAAAATCCTATACGCATTCCTCGTCTTCCCCATTTGTTCTACATGCCCTGCCCACCTCATCCTCCTTGACTTGATCATTCTAATTATACTTGGAGAAGAGTACAAATTATGAAGCTCCTTATTATGCAGTTTTCTCCAACCTCCTGTCGCTTCATCTCTCTTCGGTCCAAATATTCTGCTCAACATCCTGTTCTCAAACACCATCAGTCTGTGTTCCTCCCTTAATGTCAGACAGCAAGTTTCACACCCATACAGAACCACAGGCAGAATTACAGTTTTGTATAGACTCCCTCCACCGATCAGGCAATTTTTCCTTATACCAAACAGAAGTAATCAGATTGTGGAGTTTAGAACGTAATATTTCACCTCCTGCTTGAATAAGTTGTGCCGGAATTTGATCACTACTGGCGATTTATACCGTTTCAATTTTGCAATAGCACTTCCAACCTCAAAAGGCTAGGATCAGGCACTAACGGCTCAGTATGGATTTCTGTCTGCCTAACATCACTGGCCCTATGTACATTCAATAACTGAGACAAATAGTTCGTCCACCTATTCAAAATGTTGTGGGAATCTGCAAGCAGATCACCATTCTCATCCTTCACTAAGTTACTGCTAGGTTGGTAACCCCTCTTAAAGTCATTTATTCCTCTATACAGGTCTCTAATATTCTTGTTCTTACTGTTCATTGCAAGATCATCAATTGTGTCTTTCAGATATTCCCTCTTTTTGTTCCTGAAATGCCTGCTGGTTTCACGCCTTATATTGTTCAGATTATCCCCATTTAACTCGCTTGGATCCTGTAACCATTGCAATTTGGCCTGCTTTCTTTGATCTAATAATTTTGAGCATCCTTCATCGAACCATGGCTTATGCTTCTTCGGTTCATAATAACCTAGACTCTCTTTGGCAGACATTTTTATATTCTCTCTGATAGTTGCCCAAGTTTTATTAACATCCACCTCAGTGTCCAAGTTTTCCAAAGCCGCAAACCTATTTGAGATTTCAACACGATACTACTCTTTACCTTCTACCTCATTCAATTTCTTGAGATTGAACCTCTCCATATGAACTCTGTGTATTTTTATTTGGTCACTCACTGCCAGTTTTCCCTAACATTTGCCACCACCAGGTAGTGGTCAGTATCACAATCTGCTGCCCTGAATGATCGGACATCAAGTATACTTGAGTGCCGTCTCCTATCTATCAAAATATGGTCTATTTGATTGTGTATCTTCCCATCAGGAGATGTCCAAGTAAATTTATGGATGTTACGATGTGGGAACATTGTACTTTTGACGGTAAGATTTTTTGATGTGGCAAAGTTTACTACTCTAACTCCATTGTCATTACTAATTTCATGCAAACTCTCATTCCCAATTGTTGGTTTGAAAATGTCTTCCCTCCCTCTTTGGAATTGAAATCTCCTAACAAAATTTTCATAGGGCAGTTCAGGAATTTATCAAATACGTGTTCTAGTTCTTCATAGAATCTATCCTTTATGTCATCAATTTTTATCTTCTGTTGGGGCGTGAACATTCATAATAATGATATCACACCAGCGACCAGTGATATCCTATCACTAACGAATTCTACCCTCTTAACTGCTGATATGATTTTCTTATGTACGAAAAAACCTGTACCTAATTCGTAATTTTCATTCCCCTTATCTGCTAAAATATTACAGTATCGTTTATCCTACTCACGGAATATATGAGTATTTGTGTACTTTGTTATATAAGGATGTACAATATTAACTGCTTTGTCTTTGTAATGGAAATAGTGTTTTCTCGGAGGTAAAAATGTTTAGATATTGTTTAAATGAAATTTTGGCATCAAAGTGTTACGTCATTTGGGCTTCCACATGTTCCCAATGTCACATCTTGTTTTCTTACGCTCCACTGTGTTTGCATCATTGCAGACCAACTCTCGGGCAGTTTCGGATTCCTGGTGGTCGGCGGGGTCCTGGTTACTGTAATGGCGCTAGTTCTGTTCGCGACAGTCAGCTACCACTGTGCCGCGACGTGGCGCTGGCTTCGGGGTCTAAGCCGATACACAGACGGAAATACGGAGGATGCCTTGGCCAAACAGGCCGCCATAAGAATCAGCCATTCATTACCCGACCTGAAGACCGAACCTATCCGACAGGAATACGTACAGGACCCAAAAGATGGAAAGAAGGTAAATCTCCCAAATTATTATTATTATTATTTTATGATTTAAACTGAAATTCAAGAGACACTAGTTTGGAACTCTCAAGAGAGCCAGTCCAACTAGAGGAAGTGGCGACCCTGCCTTATGCGAACTCCAGGTCCCACTGACCCGGTGAGTAGCACCTGATAAGAGCCCCTTCCCAAGGCAAAGAGGACTCGTTAGCCACGGTAGGTAACCTGTCTAAGGGAAGGAAACTGAATAAAAATCCTGGTCTTCCAAAATATGAGATCGTGCAACAGGCTGGTAACCTGCTCAAATAAAAGTCCTCAAAAATGCTTCATGTTTGAGGACGGAACAGGCTAACAACTTCAATCCTTGCAGACGACGACGACGACGGTGGTGGTGGTGTTGAAATCGAAACTCAATATATATTGCACCTTAATTCCTACAACTAACCCCATAGAGTAAAATAAACGTCCGTTGAAGCATTCATTAAATTTCTGACTTTGAATTTTACCAAGTCAAATTTCCGTTGGTTCCCCGTAACAAGAGAGCGGCACGACCTAAGAAGACGGCCAGCGGATATGGAGAGTAGTTGTAAATGTATTCAATAGGCAGTCCTAGACAGTCGTCAAAGAAAGGTCCTTCAGCTTGGGGCTGGGCTGGAAGCTAACGTCTTCTTGCCTTAAAGCCAGACGGCAATTTACGCAGGAATTCAAGGGATATTTTGAAGACCTGTAATGGGCTTTTGTGAATATATAGTTTGGGCGCCGTAAAAGAGAGTGAATTTATTTATCAGCTAAGCGACTGCTCCTTCTCAGGAACGTATCTGTTAAATAGATTTAGCTTCTAAGAAAATACGAGTAAATGTATTTTAACTGGGTATTGCTCCCACAGCACGTGTTGCGCCAGACGACATTGCCTTCAGTGCCGACACGACACCAGACGTTCCAACGCCAACTCTCGCATCGATTGGACCTCCCCAATATCCAGTTCAGCATATGCAGCTTGGAACACAGGGCCGATTCCAGCATAGGACTCATCAAGGTAAGATGTGATCAGTACCGTTGTCATTCAACGTTTCATCAAAGTGTGGAGGAGCCCTGTTTAGATTCAGTTCCTACGGCTCGATTAAGGGATATCGTCCCAAAGTAGATCATGATAATCTACTTAAATTTTTAACCATTCACAACGATCATTCTATCGCTTCCGATGTTATAAGTTATAGATCAACGTCTCTAATGAAGAAGTCAAGAACAGGACCCAGATTTATATATATTTAATGCATGTTAGAGAAATATATTTTCTTTAACTTAATACCACATTTTTGGAAGATGGAAACATTACAAATATTTTTCATATAAATATAAAAATTTACATTTCTTTCATCAAGCAGATGATAGGATCGATGCATGTAGCAAGCATAGATAAGACGAAAAGTCGGAAAACCTGTAGGAAAGAGACAACTTGGTAGACCTAATGTCATTCTTATGTTTTGCATCCTGGTGTGTATGTCACTACTATGTAAACACTCATATATCATTCGATCACAACAGTTTTATACTTTTAATAAATAGCTAATTTAGTCCCTGCACAAATGGCGGCTTCTCGAGAAGGGCTCAGATCCATGAGTGAGAGAGCGAACTGATATAGTTTATTAAGATCTTATTTCAGTTACATATTTCGGTCATTTTCAACCATTTTCAGGCATTTATATGCAGTAAAATACGTCCACCCCCATTCCACTCTAAAAATTCCACATATAATATACCTTAATAGGATAGTTTTAGAAAAATAACAATAATGTTCAATAAATTTTACTGACTTTAATCGAGTATTTCAATGTATTTAAACATTGTAATTCTATGTGAAACCTTTTACATGACACGAGTATTTAGAAATGGATCGACTACGTCACGCAGTCTAGTAATGAATTAATAATGAATAATTTTCTTCTTTATAAACGACTGATGATGATAATGTAAATGACCGAAACATGTTGCAAAAATAACATTTTGACAGATTTCTTATTTACATAGTTTGTAGACATAGGCTTACATAGGAGGTGGAACATCTTCAAAAACAAAGATGGGAAACTGCGCACAAGATTAAACTGGATCTGAACAGGTACCTGTGGCAGGTCCTGAACACGGAAACGAACCTTCATGTACGACAGAAAGGGGGAAGGATTTCCTGACTAATAGAGGGGCTGCCAGCTTTCCAAGAATGACAACACTCCACTGTATTACTTAGTTAATGTTTCGCAAAAGGTTTCATATATTGATATCAATATAAAATGTCGCCATTCAAGCGCAAGTTGCTTTAATAAAACACATTTACGTGTAGATGATATGCAGAACATCTAATTCTTTTCCAGAATGCGCCCAGTTGGTGACACATGCACAGAACCCAAACTACAGGCCGACATTATTATAAATTTAACATTTCTCGACTTTCAACATTACTGTAATATGACTAAAGGGTAAGAGAAAAGTAAGGGCAATCTATCCTTGTAACAGGCCTTGGAGGCTCACAAGGTTCTGAGATGTCGAGGTCCCCGCATATTCTCTAGATTATCAGCTAACAGGTGGGGGTAAATTTGTTAGCCTTACGATCCGGCCGTCCTTTACTCCAAGGAATATTCCTGGTACTCAATTCTGTTAGGGACCGAGTCGACCCTAGGGCCATATTGTAACTGGAAGTATTAGGTAAATTGAAAAGTGTAGTGATATCAACGGGAATCGAATCCCTGAACTTCAGGCTTGTAGCATAATGCCTCAACCAAATATGCTACAGCGTGCTGTACTGTAATATGAACCTAAGTCTTAAATCTCCAAAAGCATAAGCAACTTTAAATATCTGGGGCTGAGGTTCTCAACAACGGTGATTATGAAGAAGATCTTCTGAGTTAATAAGAGGAAGTTAGCTGACATCTCGCAGGAACGTATCGACTCCATCTTGAGGGTCGACAGTAGACCAAGCAAGGAAGAAGAAAGAATCAGACGGCAATTAGTGCTCCGCTTCGCTTACTCATCGACCCACACGTCCTCTGAAGCATCGGTAAACTTCTAACGAACTACGCGGCATTACAACCCACAAGATTCTTCTCTTCATATATTTAAGTGGTATTAACTCTCCTCCAACATAAGGCGCATTTAGTGCACAAGGAGTACGGAACATGACGTCACTCTTACTAACCCGCAACCTTCGGGGATGGTTCGATATGTTTTTTTTTTCTCTACTTTCTCTCCATCACAGTCATTACGCACTTTGTACTAACATGTGTCCTCGTCAGCACAGTCATTGTTGGCTCCGAGTCTCACGGAATTTTATTGTCTGATTGTTCTGGAAGCCTTCAGACAAATTCCTGACTAACTCAAAGTCAAAGTCACATTGCGACTGATGGCCAGTCAGTCAGTCTTGGTGTAAAGCCCCCTCCTGGGGCTCATGACCAGATATTTGTTAATGTTTGATAGTTACGAGAGGGCGGTTATGTCTTTTGTACATTCTGCTGGCCCTTGCCAGCGCAGTTTTTCTCAGGTCCGAGTCCCTTGGGAACCGCGACCATATTTTACTGTCTCAGATTTGAGACTTCCTTTTTCGTCGCCTCCTACGACTCGCAGAGTCACGGTGGCCGTATTCGACCCCCCCCCCTCCACACGGTATCCTGACTAACTAAACCGTAAGTTTTCGTTATGTAACCTCGGTACGGACAGCACAGAAAACATCGCTCCTAGCAATTCTTCTGTTGTTGCTTGCTTATCGGTTATCGTCGACAATTATTTACCGACTGTTGCCTAGCAATTGACGGTGTTTCTTATTAAACTATACCGGCTTTCAGCCGCCATATCACAGTATTTTATAATCTTGTGCAGTGTGATATCTGTAGTGTGACTGACTAAAGAACAGATTTATATATGCTAGACAAGAGCATTAAGGTCAATGAAATAGTATTAAAAATAACAAAGAACGCATTTGTTCATATATGCTGGCTTGCCCCATTGCGCCCTTATATTATAAAGGAGCATGCAATTTCCTACAGCGTCTTTTTCCACATTTAAGGGTGATTCTGGCAGACTAATGGACCCCTGCTGTGTGCAATTACGAGGGCTGATTTGTATGTAAACGAGATTCTGTACCATTTTGTGAAGGGTAGTTTATGGCCAACAGGCTTGCCACCCTATGCCTCAGACGTCCTCATGCCACTGTGTGGACACAAGGGTGTATAACGTCATATGAAAACTTCTATGGGTAATCAGAATTGCTCGATTATAATGCTGTAATTGCAATAAACAAATAATCCTGACTCCAGAAGAAATTTCTTGTCGTTAAATATCGCCTTCTGGCATAATGGCTTCCTTTATTTGAATCACTGTAAGTATAAAAAATGTTATGGGAGTATTAGTATACTGTCCATGAGGATTCACAGGGAAGTCTCGTCATATTTATACAAAATTTCATATTGTTAATTTCCACTATTTCCTCTGGTATCCCTCTTCAGTCCCATATGTTATCGAATGATACACCAAGACCAGTGTTTAACGCCATTTCCAAAGATAAACATGTACAAGCAATCAATGATAAACTGTCTCTTTTGTATAATATGTATATTATATTTCAGATATTCACATCAATGCATTAACAGCACTCACAAAATAGACACGATACATTGAAACAAAAGACTGCTCATTCGTTCGCGACATTCTATATAACTTACGTTCGTGTAATGTGTCAACGCACCATAATCCGTTGCTATGGTAACCATAAACTTCGTATTGAGAATAATGAATCTCGTGCTCACAAAGAGTATTATAACATAACAGAAGTTTTGATGTTTTTAGACAGATAAAAACGTTTAAAACGAAACTGCTCCGTCCATCTCCAGGGTAACAAATGCTCCCATTCTTAATTTCAACTTTATACAGTACGCCAAATTACTGTAAAAGAAAATTCAGTACATTTTTATTGTAAAGTTTATATTTTAAACAGCGATAAATATTGGTAAAATTTCATCACTGTACGGTGAACCACAAAGGCAGCAGCATATAATTGCTCTACTGTTATATATATCCGCGCTCACAGCATGCCTCAAAGAGCAATTCAAGAGCACGTGCCTTCAGCTGTGGAAATAAAGCTAATAATAACCTGAAAGTCTAGAAGGAAACAAAGAAAGAATTCAGAATGCCTGCTTTCCTCAAATTCGTCAATCTTGGTTGTGGAGTTAGCGAGAAATATAAATATAAACGATCTATTGTCCAAAATCTGCGCATCGGGCTGGAACAAATGGGGTTTGTTTCTGATCTATAATCGGGGAATGCCTGGTTCGATTCTCGGACAAGACATCGACTCTACTTACTGAGGATTTAATGGTTTTCCTCGCTCCCTTCAGGCAAATTAAGAGATAATGACATAATTAGGTAATGATCGCCTATTTAAAAATACCGTTTTGTTCATTTTTCACCCCCCATTTTGCAATTCGTCATCATACGCTCTGAGATATTGGCAGCGTCTTAAATTAAAGCATAGACAAACATTTCTACACATACTTGTACTTTTCTCTTGTATACATGCGTAGATGGTGAGCCGGGATAGCACAGTCGATATAGCGATTGGCGACGGGCTGGGCGACTGAGGAGTCCCAGGAGGGTGCAGGATTTTCTCTTCTCCATTCCGTCCAGACCGACTCTGGGGTCCACTCAATCTCCCATACAATGGGTACCGGGGGCTCTTTCCCCGGGGGTAAAGTGGCCGAGGCGTGAAACTGAACACTCACCTCCAGCTAATTCCCAGGTCAAGAAAATATGGATCTGTACACCCACTCCCCCATACGTCTTCATGGTGTAGTGCTCAATTAGTTAAGCACAGGGACAGATTTACCTTTTTCCGATGCGTAGATGCGTTCAGTTTCTCAGCTGCAAAAACAGAGATCCGCAGCGTCGACATGTTTGTAGTTGTTAACACATGAAAGGTACTTCATACAGAATTTAAAGTTACGACGTGGGTTTATCATCAGCTTCCACTCGAAATTATGCATAGTTAACACAATG